TTTGTTTGCTGCATTTGATTCGGGGGTGTGTCTTTTCTTTTGTTTGCATGTTTTCTCTTTTGCTGCGCATTTGCACCTGTCGGCCACCGTACTTTCCGGGTAACACCGACACGCTGCCGCCGCAGTCTCTCCCGCGCTTTAGTGGGCGGCAACCCTATTCGGGCTGCAGTGTGAACGTAGCCTTAAATAATGAGATTTTTATGATAAAGTGTTGAGGTCATACAAAAAGACAATTCAGTAAGTCATAAAATTTCAAGAATAAAGTCGAAATAATAGGAGAATAAAGTTGAAGCATTTGCTTGGGTTGCTAGGTAACACGCAGTGCCTGTTGAAAGTGACTTAACAGTTTAGGATTTTTGAAATGACTTGTTTTTCCAGACACCATTAAGCATTAACCTATTACAGATGGATGTGTTTCAGAAGCAGTTGAGGCAAAATATGAATTTAGCTTTACTAATTGTTAGCTTCCTACTGTTTCTTCAGGCAAGTGACAGTGATGGAAAGCTGCCACAAAACAGAAACTCTTTTAGGAACAGAGTACTTAGATCCAGGGCAAAACAACATCTCTCCAGTTTTTGTATTAATTTGGGGTTTTTGTCTGGATTTTGTTCATTTTAATTTGTTAGGAAGATAATTTTATTTAATACACCAATATTAAATAGATTGTATGTTTCTTTTGTGAAAGTATTTAATTTTTTTTCATATGAAAACAGCTGGATTGTAACACTTTCATGGCCTCTTCTGTGTGCTTTTCCACTGTTTGCATCTCTGTCCTCTGTTATTGAGTTGCACCAACTGTTTATTTTGAAGAGCATTCGCTGGCAGTAAAGCATCCACTCAGATATGGCAAAAGATCTTAAAATGCATGTAATCCCTCATAGTTTCAGTATGTTATCTGTAGCCTAGAAGGATAAAAATTGTTTGTTTTTGGACAAAGTGTTTCATTTGGTTCTGTAGGAGATTGTTTTGGACTTTTGTATCTATAAGGTATTGATGGATATAGGACTGAAACAATCAGATTAATCATGATGCATTGAATAAATGATTGTCAACTAATTTAGTAATCGATTAATCACAATTAATCAGTTATACTTTTGTGAGTATACAGACTCAAAAAGGCAATTCAGATGAAAGATGAGAAATTTTAGTCTGTAAATCTGTTCTACACAGAAATCCTCTGGTGGAAAAGTTTTAGCTTCACCTGCCTCAAATTTATATAAAAGAAATCCTGTTAAGCACAGTTTTCTGTCCAGTTATTAATCGATTAATCCAAAAAACAGATCAGCTCTACACTACTGATGTTAAATCAGACAGAAAGCTTTTCACATGTTGAAGCTTTCAGGATTTTTTTAGCTGCAGATCCATCTTTTGCTACAAATGATCAAATGTTTACTAAAGTAATGCTATGTTGTGGCATTATAGGCAAAAAAAAAATCTTGTTTTCATGTTTAAAAAAGGAACTATTTGCATCTTAAATGTATTCCTAGTATTGCCTGAAAAGACTTCAGTGGTTAAATGAAAAATAGGCAGAATGTGGGGAAAAAACTCAATCGATTAATCATATGAATAAATTATTACTAAAATTATTATTAGTTGCATGCATAGATAGATTGATGAAATGTCCAACTCTGTGAGACAGGAATCAGAGAAGTACGATAAATAACTAAATAACTTTTGCGCTGTCAGTTTGATTTACCAACAGAAGGAGTCACTGATCTGAAACAGAATCATGTCACGTTGAACCAGGACGATAATTAAAGCAGACTCATTTTCCTGAAGTCCTAATTAAATGTTTTGGGGATGAACTGGGTTTGGATCCCGGTACCGAAGCGCTGCTCTCGCCCACTGATTGCAGCCTGTTTGTCTGCAGCTAATTTCAGGGCTTGCACAGCAACGCCGCTCCTTCCCTCTCTTTTGCAAATTGCGTGTTTTCCTGAAAACAAATTTGACTGAGAACCAGTCCGTCCGTCTGCGCCCACAACAAACAGAGCTGAGATCAGTTCGGACCTGGAGCCAGTTCATACGGGTCAAACTGTCCGAATCAGAACCAAAATGAAGGGGAATGGATCATAAAACTACATTTTCAGATAACTGTACAATTCAAGTCTTATCTAAATGTTTCAGATCATCAAGCTAATTTTAAGCTTTAAATCTTAAGATTTAAATCTGTGCTTTGATTAGGCCGCTCCGTTTTTAAACCCATTCAGAGTCACAAACTGATGGTTGGATGTTAATTACAAGATTTTTTCCATCAGGGCAGAATTAATAAATCATGAAGCAGCAAAGCAACCCCAGAGCATCACACTGCCACTACTATGTTTGATTGCTGGTATAAAATACTTTTTAATAATATTCTGTTAATTTTGCCCAGATGCAATGGAACAAATTTAAGACTGATAGATTTGTGGATTTTTCCACATCTGTTCTGTAATTTCCTGACTGTTGTTTTGAGGTTTTTGCAGCCAACTTCATGTCGTCACAGTGGGGAAAAAAAAATAAAAAAAAATAAAAATGGAGCTCCAACTCAGAGAAAAAAATAATTGAAATTGAATCAAGTTTGTCAAACTTACTTTATTTACATTTGTTTAACATGTAAACTTAAACTTAATCTCATTACTGCCAACATGCCTAGGTGGGCACCATAAGGGGGAAAGGTGGGCCCATATGGGTTTGTCCACGGGTTCCACGGTGGCCCCACATGGGTTTTCCCATTTAGGGCCCTACATGGGCAAACCCATGGGGGACCACCATGGACAAACCCATATGGGACCCATCCGGTCTGCCCTCCTTTCGACCTAGGCATGCTGGCAGGTTCTCTCCTTTTTTTTTTTTTTTTTTTTTAATCCAAAGAATAGTCCGAGTTTATGATGGATTCAGCTGAAAGCACAATAGCTCCAATAAGGCGCCTTTTGTGGGTCTGGCACCGCTTGAGCCATTTCAATCACATCTGCAGATTGCGTTTAGAGCTTTTTCTCCTGCACTTTTTTTTTTTTTTGGCGCACATCCAACTGCGGCGCTGGATGGAGTCAGCACGCAAACCTCTCCGTGAACGACCATTTTCTAAACAAATGAGGACCTTAGCATGTATATAGATCACAATTAGGAGGCCTGCAGGTCGGAGGGGAGCAAATCAGCGCGATTTGTTGGAGATGGCGCATGACGGAGGTAAAAAAAAAACAAAAAAAAAAAACACTTTGTCCCTTACCGCTGAGCTGAGAAACTCTTATGAAGTTTCTGATTAAAAAAAAAAAGATTCAATCGTTGCGCAAACTGTAGGGATTTTCATAATTATTAAATACATCAAATAAAGCACATGAAGTGGTGCGTAAAATGCAGTCATTCAGAAATCCGTCACATACAGGAGCTGATTGTTTACAATGGAAACGCAAGCCGCAGTTTAAGCTCCAAATGAACAGAAAAGGTTTTAAAACGAACTTACTTGAGTCGGAGATCGCAGAGTGTGGATTTACTCCTCCGTCCTTCCCTCCCCCTCGGTTTGCTTTTTGTCTTCCAGGATCCTGAACTTCTGAATCAAATTTCAGGACGGACAAAATACTAGGCTTTTCCTCCGCCCACACGCAGTTTTTCTTTTTTTTTTCTCCTCCCTTCTTCCCGGGTACCATGTCAAAGACCATATGGAGCAAATAAAGCCGGAGAGGATCCACAGGAGGAGGAGGAGGCACTTACTCTCAGTTTACCTTCAAATTCAACATTAGCAATCACAGCCATCACACAAACAAGTTTGTCCAAACAGGACGGTAAACATTTACCCTCAATCTAAACTCCAGCTTTCATCTAATATTCATACTCGGGATGAGTGTTTGTCCCGCGGAGGGACTTGATTAACGCAAACATCTCAGCTTCCCTGCGCGCTTTTCAGACCTTTTAAAGATACAATTCAGGGAGGATTTCAGTAATCCCTAATAAATTCACACAAAGTGAAAACACAGCTGCGTAGCGCAGTTTTGGATTTCAACTTCATGATGTCTGGAAATGTGAGGTTCTAAAAAACCCACAGGAGGAGGGACCCCTCCCCCCCCCTAAAACACAACAACAAAAAAAACTGGATTCTCGTTTGTGTTGATGACATCACAAGAGGCAAAAGAGTAAAGCACATCAGTAAAAATGGCAGAAAAGTTAGTTTGGACACATTTCATCATAAATTTTAAGTAATTAAGTTGCAAGGCGTGGTGTTTGAGGGTTAGAGCTCCACTCTGACGCCATGATGGATGCTGCTGAGGATGATGAGGCTGGAGGAAACAGCAATGAAAGATCCAGGAAGTATGATCAAATTGCTTTAAAAAAATAATTTAAAAACTACTTTTCTAAAATAAAAAGAAAACTCTGCCACATCCACTAAAACCGGAACACGACACCCATATCTGGTCGAGGGCGTTGCAATGTCTAAAAGTCCCTTGTTGCTGGAGACTGGACTTTAAAACACAAAAAATGAACAAATATTGTTGAGAACTGGAGCAGAAATGACAACTTGGCAAGTTTTTTGCTACAATTTACCACCATGGTTAAAACAAACTAATTCAGCTCTTTTAAGTCCCTGGGTAAGGAGCCGGTTTGCCAAGTCTCCAAGCTGCCACTCAGACATTTACCTGAGTAAGGCGACCAGTGGAAAACAGGATCAGCATGTTGTCCATGGCAAATTCAAAGGCAAAAATTGCATATAGGTTTTTTTTTCCTTTTAAATTAAAATACACCAAAAAAACATTTTATTCCCTGTTTGCCTGAAAACAGATGTACGATCAATTTCTACTGAAAACAAGATAGAAAATAAAAATCTGAATTTCTAATAAAAGGAAACAAGGATAAAAGTACCCAACCTTCCCATAAATACCATTTCCATTTTCTCATTAAAAGTCATCAATCTGATCGCTCTGGGAAGGCCACGCCCACTTCCTGAATGATTTGCATCAGAACCACACCTGACTTATCACAACAATCAGTCAAGTTAAATACGGAAACAATGAGCTGAAGCAACACAGCAACGCTCTATTAGTCATTTATTGTTGGAGTAAGTTTATAGAACAAAAAAAAAGCATCTAACATATACAGATAAAAGCTGTTGGTTAGCAATATGATCAATAAATAGAAAGTTAGAAATATAAACAAAATAATTCAAGTTTTGTTTGGGAAATATTTACACACGTTAGCAGTTTGCTGCTTGAGGAATCGGTTCTGGAAAGAAGCCGGGTTCAAGTGACGATCGGTCAGCAGCGTCTGAAATGTGCCATCCTTTAAGGAGAACCGCAGGAGAACCGGCCCGGTTCCCGACACGGACATACCGCCTTCCGGTCAGGCGGTCCGATCTGGAATCTGCAATTCAACCTAAACATGAGCTACAACAGTCAGCTGGTGAGGTGGGGAGGGTCTGTCAGTCCTCGGACAGCAACCTGTGGAAGTGGTCCTTCCTCTTCTTCAGAACCTCCTGGAAATCCTCCTGGAGAGACAAAAATAATCCAATCTGTAGCCACGGCAACAAAGGCAGATGTTCAGATCATAACAGGTGGGAGGGTGAAGAGGTCAATAATTTAATCAAAAAGACAGCAATATACCCATAAGCCTTTTCCTGAAGAGTTTAAGTCCGGTTTAATCAAACTCTGTCGTTTGTCTAGAAGGTCCGGTTTGTTTGGGGGAGATGTGAACGTGTAATACGACAGCAAACTCTGGTCAACCTAAAAACCTTAAACTCAGTTTGAGTGAATGTATGGATGACAGGAAGCAGACTATAGCGCAGAGGATTCTGGGTAAATACAACCAAAACAACTGTGAGTCTAAACGCTACTGGGAGAAATGGCTCGTTGTTAAATCCTGCAACCGCTAACATCTGATGCTAATCCATTTTTGTTTACATTTAGTGAAGAAAGGAAGTTCTGCTCAGAGGTTATTCAGAGTTTTTGTGTAGTTTCCTTCAGTAGTTCTTAGTGCAGCGCCACCAGTGGTGAGGAGAGGAACAGGTTTTTCATTTAGCTGAACCTCACCAGCTGAAAATGTAAAGAATGTTTAAGGGCCAATCCAACCAAGTTTACCGAACTGGTAAGAGTGAAAACACCCATAAGCACACTTTGTTATCTTTTATTTCCTCCAGTGTTTCTAGACTGGAAATGTCGTCACATAATTGCTCTGTTAACTCTGGCCAAGAGTTTGGAAAATAACAAAAACAAACCAGTTTTTAACCTCCATCACAGATAAACAACACAGCCTCAGTATGCAGCAGCGGCCAGGGATATTCTTTTCTTTCAGCATCGTTTTACAAACATCAGGAAACAGATCCAAGCAGTGACAGATGTTGCAGTAATTTTAAAAAATGAAATTAACTCCAGGAGAGTTTCTGTTGCTTGTACCAGGTGTGTAACTTTAACTGCAGTCATATGGATGCTATAAGGTAATTATGGGCCATCAATGCAGTCAGGACCACTCACATTCCCGCCACCATGTTTTGTTTAACCAACTGCTTTCCTCTGGGAGGCGCTACAAAACTCCCCTCGTTAGAAAAAACATCAAAACGGAAAACATTTTTTTCCTCTTCAATAATCCTAAAGTCTGCATTGTTACACAGTCTTTACTTGGTTCTCTTCAACTCCCTTTTCTTGTACAAATGTGGGTTGTATTTTACTTATCGTCTGTGGGTTATATTATTTTAACCTTCAATGATAATGTGGCTTATTTAACATCTAGTAAGAGTATTTTTGGCCTTTATTCAGTGTAAAAGGAGGATAAATAAAATCAACTGCCAATACAGCTGTCAGAAAACTTGTCTTAATTCTCTTGATATTTTGACTATTAGTCTTGCTGATGATCTGTAAGTGTTTTAAGGTGGAAGGCCTAACGGCCATCACCCTAATCTTTAATTCCTTCCATACTTTATCAGATTCAAGCCCAGATTCAGCTGCACCTCTCTAAAAGGTCAATATTAATTCCCGTCAGGTTAAATAGCTACTGTGTTGTAAACAAGCCATTAAAAATAGATTTGGACACACAAATTATTAATTTTAAATGGGACACACCAACTACTTAGCCTGCAATGCCTTAATGTGTCCACATGAGGGCAGCAGAACCTGCTGTACTGAAACTCTTTAATAAGCAACAATATTTTTTCTTCAAGTTTAACTTCTGGAGGAATAAAAGCCCAGGAATCTAACTTTAACATATATGTTTTAATATTAGGTGACTAAAGATGAACTACAAGGGCTGTTAAATGTTTTATGTTTATTTTCTCCTGTGGCAGAGCGGGTTTCTTTGGGAGAAATCTAGGAAAAGAAAAGCATTTAGAAGCAGACTTACCGCTGGAGCCAGTCTCTCCATGTAGGGGACGAGTTTCTGCAGCTCTTTGTCTTCTGATCCTCCAGACCAGCTCTTAATGGGAATCGTGTTCATCAGCTGGAGAAAGGAAAAAAAGATGAGAAACAAAGAAAACACTAAACCAGTGGGGAACAAGTAAACCTACACAGGGTTAAAACATCTTGTTAATAGTGGAGAGTTTAAAACAAAGCCAGAGGACAAAATGTGGCTTCATCCTCACCGATGCGTCAATATTTAATAACCAAGTTGCTGCTTGGTTATTAATGTTTTTACAGCTCAATCAGGCTGTATGAGAGCGAGCGAGAGCAAGACGTCGGCAGCCAACAGAAAGGCTGAATATCCTGCAGCAAAGTTGCCCTTTCATTTGCTTTTGAGGTTTCAAGACTGAGTTGTTATCCAACATGTTGAATGTGGAAATATTGGGAGCTTTTTGGAAATCTAAGAGTTAAAGTGAGCAGGAGTGTTTTCTAAACATTAATCAGTTCTTAAAGAGAAACGGATTTGTTAAAACCAAAGCTCAAGAGAGCAGCTCTTAAAAAAAAAAAATCTTGCTGCACGTTGAGAGAAAAAAAAAAAACATTTTATTGCAATGCTAATGCTAAAGAGGGTGATAATAATAATTATCGGCTGAGTTATTAAAAATAAAGTACTTATAGATTTTTACTCCCACTAATGACTAACCAGACATCTATTTGTTTAGATATTATTAAAAGAGTTATACTTATTTAAATATTATTTTCATGGCATCAACACACAGCAACTTCCCAAACATCCAAACAATCCTCTGCAGTTGAAATATTGAGTTCATCCATATTGTGCAGTTCCACTCTGATAATTAAATATATCTTTTAAGCTAAACAGTTTTCTGTGTAGTAAAGTTTCTCACGTGGTATGGGTAGGTGTGCGGTGCGTTATCCAGGACGACGGTTTTCATCAGGTCTCTCCCGAGGATGCTGAGGTCCTTGATGTAGTGACCGAGGACGCAGGCGCAGTCGTCCTGGTACAGGCGGTGACTGAAAAACAAAAACCAGAAGCAGCTCAATGTCAACTTGTACCAACAAAACGGAGGAAAACAAATAAAAACTCAGCAGCAGCTCTGAAGGCGACATACCGGAAGAGTTTCTTCTGAGGGTCGAGGATCTCCAGGATCTTCTCGGCGTATTCCTTCTTTGCACAGGTGTAAACAAAAAGCTGGAAATCGCAGGAAGCTGCGGTTAGAAGTTTGGAAACGATTTACAAAGAGAAACAGAAACTGTGAATTTCTCAAACCTCGTAGATTTTTGCCATGGCTTGAAGAAACTCTCTTACGTGTGGACGCAGGATCATGTACACCTGTTGAAAGAACAAATACTTCTTTATTAAAAAAAACATGAAAAACGACTGGTGTTGCATGAATTTCATGTTACTTTATGCAATAGCTTTTACTTTAAACTTTCTAGTAGCTCTGAATCATTCCCAGAATTCCTCTGTGGCATTTTAATGTTTGGATTGCACAAGGGAATTCTGGGAATGTTTGGGAGTGCTGCAGTGTGGGTGTAAAGCATTACTCATCAAGAAAAGGCAAAGAAATCTTAAATTTGTTGTTTTCAGTCTAGTTTCATGCCAACACAGAATTCTGTTATTTTTTTTCCTACAAGCTGATTCAATTTTATTCAACCAGATAATATAAAAAAAACTAAAGTAAAAAAAAAAAATGTTCTAGATTCTCTGATAAAAGTGGTTTTACGAATCCACCCAAAAATTTATGAATTACAGCAAAATTAACCCAATTTCTGCATCAAAATATGCCCACAACTGATGCCTTTTAAAAATAAACTAACATCACAAAATTGTAAAATATTTGTAGACAATAAATGTTGGGAGTTTTAGTTTTACACATTTAATGAACTGGAGGAGAGAAAAATGATACAGTTTTGATTTCCATCTCGAAGCTCCTTGTATTGTTTTAGTTTGTGCAACAGCAGCAGCTGCTGTCTGGTGATTAACAGACCAAAATGTTATGATTACACTATTAAAAAAAAAAATGCAACTTTTCTAGAAAATGTTTGTTTCCTAAACAGCAAATTTCTGATTCGCTAACTCGACATGTTCCATAAAACCGTTGGTTATGAGCCACATGTGGGATTTTATCGATGTTTTCCTGGTTCAGCTCACCTGAATCTAACCAACAGGAAGCCGAGCTGAGAAACTCATCGAGCCGTTTGTTGGAGCAGCAACACTTAAAGCATCAACTAAAAGCAGAGATTACTTACCTTGTATTGATGATCCTGGAATGTGGTAAAGAAAGTATAATCTGCTTCTTCGATCACATTCAGGGAGCTGAACATGAGCGTCTCCTCCTGTTCGGAGAAACAAAAACGTGAATCTGTCTTCTTTTACATCCAGCTGTTGCCGTAACACAAATGGTTAGGACTAAAATAAAAAATGTAATTGATGTTTGTTGTTAAGTCTGTACCAATATTTTGCTCTTTTCCCAGAACCTCATGACCTTTAATGCTGCCAGCGAACCAAACCAAATGGCACTGAATGGATATCGTGTTGGTTGGCAGCAGAGTTGTGTTTAAATCAGGTTGATGTCTTTAGTTTGGGTTTTTCACCTCCGGTTTGCTCCATCGCACTAAAACGTCTCGGTCGATGATCGACTCGCTGATCCAGCAGCTGCTTCAGCGGTTCACAGGTTTAGTTAATAGTTAGGGAGCCGAGCTGCAGCCTCCCGTCTCTTTAAAGTCGGGGATAATTAGCTGCAGACGGGATAATGAACAGCTGCTTTGGCTCAGGCAGCTTCTAAACGCAGCATAAAACTCACATCTAGTTAAACATTCACTGTGTGATGAACAAATTAAATCCATCTCAGTCTTTGGAACTACGAACTAATTAAACAATTAGTTGGATTAACCGTGATGAAATGATTATTAAAATAATCGACAACTAAGTTAGTAATCGATTATTTGTTAACTGGAGTTACAGACTCATTTGCTGAAAGAACAACTCAGTAAATGAGCCAAAACTGTACAAAAAATAAAATACATTTTGATTTCAAAATAAAAACATTTGTAAAAGTTTTAGCTTCACAATTTCTCTAAAAAAAAAAAAAAGAATCTGTCATTAGGCACCTTTGGCAGATCTTTTCACAGTTTGATATTAAAGAATTGAATTGCTTATTTGCATTTTTTAAAAATGTATTTTAATGTTTAAAAAATATCTGCAGTATGTGGCAATTAAAAAAAAACAACTGATTAGCTAATTAATCATCACAATAAAGTGACAGGATAATCAGTTACTAAATTATTCGTTAGTTTCAGCTCTACATTGTACTAGGATTGTTTTCCAGTTCCAGTATTTGTCCCGGTTTGGTTCTGGGATGAACATCAGAGCGTCAGAGCTGACTGAGCGTACCAGGTCGACCACCAGCGTGGCCTCCGGCGTGCTCCGGGTTTTTGGCGGGATGTCTTGGAGACACGGCCGGGAATGCTGAGACTGGGACGGGATGTTCTTGATAAAGGTAAACCTGAGAACATGACAATAAACACGTAATGTATAAAAACAGGAAAACACGTGTACATTAATGAGGGAGCTGGATTTTGCTAAAATGAGATGTTTCCCCTGCCAGAGGTAAAAAATAAATAAATAAACAGAAAAAGGAAGAAGAAGAACGTACGGATCAAAGACGTCGTCGTCCTCATCTCCAGCCAGCAGGTCGATGGAACCGTAACCAAACACTCCTTGTTCTGGGCTCAGCAGAACGCTGCTGGCAGTTTCAGGACATTTCATATCTGAGCAGAAAAACAAAGAGAAACAGCCTGAGACGACCTGCAGGAGCAGCGAGTCACTACAGCAGGACTGGCAGAGGAAGCTCAACAGGCATGACCGGTTTTTATTTTCTATTTAAAAACAAATTAAACTTTATACTCTCCCAATCATTTATTAATCTTTAATGTCAGATTTAGAAAGCTGAGCTAAGATGTTAAGTTTACTGAAGATTACACACAGAGACCCCTGTTTACGTTGGAGAACGCCAACTGGGATAGTCGCTAATCCAAGATATTATGGATGGTTTAAAAATTAAACCATGTAATCACACTCCATTTGTCTGTAAAATATGTAAAGATGTTTCAAAGGTGGAAAAGTGAATAAATCCTAAAAACAGTGGAAGGCTAAGAGCTCATCCAAAAAAATACTTTGACTAACTTAGAACAAATCCAACTGAAAATGTAAAAAAAAAAAAAAAAAACCTTCACAACAGATTGGTAGGACTTTTTTTTTTGCAAATTTTTCACTGTAACAAGTTTCTCACTATCCAAATGATGAAGTCATTACTCACACAAATGGTCAGACATATTGATATTTAATTTAAAACTCTGATAAATGTGGGTTTCCTGACTAGCTGTTAGCGTTCCATCTTTTCTAAAACCCGCTGACACGACGCCGTCTGGTGCGTGTGAGGAACTGCTGCTGATCACCAGAAAAACTCTTAATGATGCAATCAACTCACAGCGGTCTGAACTATCTGCTCGGTCTGCATTCCTTCAACTCAATAAATCAATGGTTAATGACGACTGTTCATCTTGTGTGAACGCATGGCATCACCACGCAGTGGGAAAAGTTAAAAACTGAATTCAAATGATTTGCTGAAAGCAGCAGAGACCATGAGACTGATGGAGATGACACAGAGACAAAAGGAGTCTGTGACACTCTTCACTGTTTCAGGCCAGAAGCTGAGACACCTACTCTCCTTGCTGGGCGTGAGGAACCGCACGATGGGCGGATAGATGTTTCTGGCCTTGGAGTTACGAGGGGACGCCACGTCGATCTCTGACAGAATGCGCTCGTGGTGGATTATGGGCTTGAGTGGGGTCTTAAAAGCCAAATCTGGAAGACAAGAAGAGGACTGGTTAGGAAAGAGAATTTGTAGATTAAGGAAAATACAAAACGTAAAGAGTGTAACCTGCTGATGGAGATAAAATGCCCGACTCTCTGTCCTCAACAGCGATGGCCCTCGGCCGCTTCCTCGCCCGGCCACGAGGCAGCGGCCGCCTCTTCACCGTAGGAACCTCATCCTCTGGTTGGTGAACCACAGACTCCTCCTCAACCTAGTCGCAGGTGAAATAAATAAAAGCAGTTATGAAAATTAGTCTCGTTCAATCATCAATCATTAGTCTGTGGTGGCAAAGTTTGGTAGATGTGAGATCTGACTTTATTTTCACAGGAAAAAAACCACCTTGATGCTCAACTGTCAGGGTTTCCCCAGTGTATTATAAGCCTGGCGGGCCTCCAGGCTTTACTTGTGCTTCCACCAGGCTAAGCACTGCTCATTTATTTAGGTCTTTTTAAAATGTTTGCATTTTTAAGATTTTATAGTTGTTCAGGTATTAATCTTCCAATCTTTCAATAATACATAATTATCCAGTGATATTTTCAAATTTTCTGTGAATTTTAAACATTTTTTAAAATCAAAAACATGACAGGCCGCTGCATGAATGACTACCCTACTGCCCACTATCTACACTATCATTATTTAATATTATGTTTTTAGCTTGTGTACTTTTAATTCTTTGTATTTTTTTTTGTTTTTACAATTTATTCTATTTTACCTTTTGAACATTGTAATCTTTCTCTGGGAAATAGAATTGTAATGATTGTTTTATTTATCATGATGCACAAGTCGACTTTTCTTTTTTCTTTAGTATTTAATTGGCATCATGATATTGTGATTATACGTTTTGTATTATTTGCTTCCTTGTGAATGCAGAAAGTAAAAAATATATACATACTACCATAGTAAAATGGGCTTTTTTAATCCTTTCAACATTAATTTTGTACCTTCATGCATATCTACAGATTAATTTAAATTATAAACAGCGTTGTTATGATTAATCTATGAGCTTTAACTGCCAAATCATTAGAGACAAGGATGAGCCTTTATCAAACCAATATTGATTCCATGATTTGTTTTAAGACCAAATGTCCTGAGCACAGAGCCTCAAACACTAATGTTTTGTTGATGAAACCAACACTTTAATAGCACCAAAGCAACTTCCATTCCACATAATGAACAACAATAGCTTATGACAAAAGGCATTTATTTCAGATGTGCTCATAAAAAGCACATTTAATGAAACCTGAGCAATAAAACATCAGCTGGTGGATCAAGAACGTCTCATTTGGGCTTTCAATAAGCAACAGAGACTAAACGCTGAGGTCTGATCAGACATTTCTGCTCTCAACCATCAAACCACAGTAAACTCCTGGCAGCGGCTCAACCCTCATTTGTGTTCGCAGCGTGAAACACGTGTGTTCTGGTAACCTACTTTCTCCGGACCACCTCTCACATCTCACATGCGCCGACTCTGCGTTAATCCAACACAGACTCAGGCATCCATCCTCTAAGCAGCCATCATTATTTCAACATTTCTACAAGGAGAGCTAGTTTTGTTGATTTTCATAGTTTTGTTTGTAAGGCATGTTTTTAGCATCGAACTAAATCAAAGTGCTTCACGTGACTAGAAGGAAAAACCATTACATTACAAAGTAAGAGGAAATGATGAGGCTGAAAAATAGATTGCACTTTATGACGTTCCAGTTGTTATTAATCAAAGGGAAAGGTAAACAAACGGGGTTTTTACTCAAACCCACAAAATCAACACATGGATGTAATTCATAAAGACCCACAGTGCTTAAAAGAAGCCTGTGTTTTTGTTTATTAAAACATTTCAAAACTAAAATCTCCATTTCAACTAGTATTGATCTTAATTTGTCCCTTTTCTTTGACCTAAAGGACATAAGGTCTAGTTAGGGGCTTGAACCAGCAACCACCTGTTACAAATAAATCCATCTCCTGAGTCACTGCCACCACAGTTTAATTTATTTATCTATAATCCAGATTAAAGTCTGACCAAGTTGCTGCAGTTCCAGAAAGACAAACAGCACTCCTATGTAAAAGTGTCACCTAATCGGTTACTCAGTATTTGACCTCTGACCCCTCAATGACTACTTCTAAGCACATTTAGGAGCTTCAATCTATGGCTGAGTAAAATACACATACCATTTACTCCTCATTGCATAGAGAAAATTGAAATTTTGTCTAATATACGCTAAAACCATAAAGTTAAATATGATTTTTAGATAAAAACACAGTTACTGCAAGCATGTGTGTTAAATAGGTGGCTACCAGAGCAGATAGATTGACTTACTAACTACCTAATGTCAGATTGCTACGCTTGTATAAAAAAACAGGAAGAATATAATTTAGGTCATAAGCACTTGGGGGGGGGGGGGGGGGGAAGCAAATTTCACAAGAAATTTCTGAATTGTGCTTTTGAGTTTGTTCTGGTAAGAAGTTTGTAATAACTTTTTTTTAATAAAAAATATATTATATAGTAAAATCATTATTCTGATCCATACACATCGTAATACCAACGTGACCAACTAGATCTAATCTTGGGAAGCTGAAAGAGCAATTAAAAAACATCGAAATGGTTTGACAATTTAATTTTTTTTACGCTGTGTTCTGGTTAGTTGTGGTTAACTTCCGCCCTGATTAGTTTAAGAGTTTAATTTTGAGCTAAAGGGGATCTGAAGAACAGATGTTTGTCAATCGGAAGCTAACCTCAGCATTACTCTAAAACAGCGCCTCCTACCGGAGCTCTTAAAATGACCGAGTTCAAGCCACATTAAAAGCTGATTTCATGAGCTTTGTGGATAAATATTTACTACAAAACTTTTAAAAATCTGATCGGTGACCCAATATCTCTACTTTTGATTAACTGCCATTAGGGGCGATGGGTTGTCATTCGTTTAGGCCACCTACCGTTCAGATGCTGTTTAAACACCAGATGCTAACAGTAGTTAGCATTAGCGCTGTCTGCTGTGTTGAAACTAACAAAACACCAGAACATTGAGTGATAACTGGATCTTTCTCCTGAAAACTGTTCACTGTTGCCACAAATGTACTCAGTGTTACTAAAATGAAACAACCGTTTTTACATCGATGAGCTACCATGTTTGGTAAGGGACTTTCCGTCTCCGTCGTCGAAAGGCGCGTTTGTCTCGACCGTTGACGTGTCCTCCTCGGCGTCTCCGAAGCAGCGGTAATCGTCCTTTGAGACCTAAGTCTCATTTTTCCTTTTCATGTAAGACTTGTAAAGCATCTAAACAGAAACTCTTCCGCTGCACTGTGTTCCCTTCGGACAAGCGTTTCAGTTTTCCTCCTCCCCGCCCACAACTGGACGTTTACTTGGTCTAACCCCGCCCCGCTCATCCCCGCGTCTTCTCGAATCAAAGAGGAGGAGTGCGTTTAAAACTGCAGCGGTGCATTCGATTCCCTGTTCTGGACAGCGCTTGAGGGCGGTGCTTCAACAATAGAACAAACTACTGTGAAACAAGTCACGTGTTCTCTGTTTACGTGGGCAGCCAGCGTGGACTGGACTGCGCTTATTCTACAACACATGTGTCAAACTCAAGGCCCACGGGCCACATTTGGCCCGCCATGTCATTTTATGTGGGCCCCGCAGCATTTTATAGGCTGTCATTGACTTACAATAGGTTTTGAGCACGAATTGACTACAAACTACATCTCCAACAATGCATTCCGATTATTACCAGCTAACATTACGGTTTCTCGCCACTAGAGAGCAGCAGAGTCACCTCAAGCTGCTTATTGATTTTCCCAGCGAATAAGTCTGAGACATCGACAAGCTAACGTCTAAATGTCCAAGAAAAGAAACATCGATTTACAAGTAAGAGTGTGAATGAAGATGTGT